AACTCTATTATCAAATCATAATTCTAAAACTCTACCAAACATTGAAAATTGCTTCTCTATAAAGTGGAAGGTGCAGTTGGATCACTTGATGTTGGACCGGTTGAGCATATATTTAAATAGTTCGGTTTGAATCTGAAACTAATTATAAAATAACAGACAGAATCATGAAGTACGATTCACCTATTTTAAGAATTAAAACCGAACTTTGCATTGAAAAAACAAACCAAACCACACGATTTGATCTAAACCAAACCAGTTTACGATTTCTTCGTTTTTTTACTCCATCCTATCGTTTTCCTATATAGGGAGGGAGAGAGATTTGCACGTGAAAATTAACTTAGCTAGCCTATAGCCATCCAGCTGTAAATATATATATAGTCCTCTTATTACGAGACTCTAGTAATTTAAGAGAACCATTTCACAAAGTTGCTTGAAGTCAACTAACCATTTCACTGAGGACCATAAAGAAAAACAACTACTACACTTCAGTACTACTTCTATAAAAGCCACAACAGAAGTGTCATAGATGAGCCTAGATGCAACAACAACAAAAAATGATATAGTGTTCATATTTGTCATACCCCCATTATTTTACATGTACAATTACATATATTATGAATCACCATACTTTTTGCTGGACTATATATATGGTGGTGGTCTGGTGTCCATGTCTGGTACATGTCCATGACCATTAATTTTACCCACTTTCCCTACATTAAGCATTATTTAAGACTTATATATATGTGTTGGTGGACAGTTCATGAAAATTAATTATGTCATTATCCACAAAGCCACATTCTAACTGTTCTATGTGTACAAAAAGTTCCAAACACATGATGCACATATGTAAAATAAAAAATATTCACATCTACAGTTGCGAATGCGAACATTTGCATCGCATCTATGCATTCTCTATTTAGATCTTTCTGTGTCTCTAAACTTTTTTAACTCTATTTATATTAGAATAATGTATAAAATAAATAAAAAATTCAGATAGAATGATGTGCTTCAGTATAGATTTTTTAACTTCAAAATAAAATAGCTATGAAGATGATAATATCACATTATTTTGGTAATGTTTTTAATATAAATTTTATGTATAAATAAAATTTAAATTTATGCATTTTTTAAGAAGCTGGTCAATCAGCAAAGGTGGATGGTCAACCAACAAAAAGTTCATGTGTAATTTAAGTACTTGCAAGGAAAGGGTTGAAAACTTATTAATCAACGGGTTATAGCTTGCGTGGGCATTTTAGTTCCTAAAGGAATGTCTAATGTAACGTTTGTTTGATAGAGTTTTCTAAATATGATTTAAAAATCAGAGCTGTATTTTAAATTTGTAAATTTTAGAATTAATACGATTTGAGTGTAGAAAATTTGTTTAGTTATGAATTTTAAAAACAGTTTTGAAAAGAGTTTTAAATTAAGTTTGAAATGAATTATGTAACATATGATATTTAATTCAAAAACTTACAATTCATAATCAAACACACAACTCAAAATCCTATTCAAAGTTCATAAAAAATTTAAAAAAAAAAAACTGGAAATATTTTTTATTTAAAATAAAAAAATAACAGGTGAAAAAAAAAAAAAAAAAACGTACTCTGTTCCGGTCAACTGGCTAGACATCCTGGGGGACGACCGGGTTAACCAAATTTTCCGCCTAAAAAGGAGTTTTCAAAAATAAATGTAGAATTAATTTTTGAAAACTACAACCAAACACCACGTGCAAATTAAGAGGTGGAATTACAATTCCAAAACTCTTCCAAACAGAGCCTTGGATTTTATTCTTAGGCGTGAAATGGGTTTAACTCCCATTAATACTAATTTAACAATTAAACACTGGCTTTTGCCAATTCAAAAAGGGGGGAAAATTTAAAAACTTAATAGCTTTAAAATCTATTTAGATTTGATTTCTACACACAACAAACCCAACAAGCTTTTAATGACTCAAACTTGAATAGCATTGGTTCGTTTTACAATATTACATACATATCTAGAAAAATATATGGATCAAATTCATTCTAAGTGTAAGTATAACACACATCATAGAAAGTTTCAATCTACACAATACATTCATATTCTTTATACTTTTCTAAATATTTTTGTAAGTGTATAGTATTTTTAAAGTTCAAATCATAGAAGTATTATGTAAAAGGAAAATATTAATGAGCACTTCTGATACATTGTTTAATATTAAAATTTATGTAAAAATCATTTTGAAAATGATTATAAAATAAATAATAAATTTTTTATTTTTTTTTAGCATTTGTTGGCATTATGGTATGTGGAATTTCGCAGAAATGATTTCTTAAACCCTCTCAGTGAAATTATTGCTCACATTCGGCCTTCGTTTGGTATGTGAGTTAGTTTTTTTTTACTTCTAACTTTTTGATTATTTTAGCCCTTGTTTGGGAACATACTATTTTAATAATTTTTTGACTTTTTAATTAAAATATGAGATAAAAAAAAACTAGTATATTTAGAATGACTTTTTAATTTTTTAAGAAAAGGTGTGTAAAAAGTATAGAAGAAATAAAATCTTTGACTTTTTGGTATAGGTTATAGGCTTTTTGGTTTTTTTTAAGAACTTTTTAGCTTTTAGGCTAAAACATTAGCATGTCAAACAAGACCTAGACTGAGGCTAAAAAGCCTCGTTTAGAATAGATTTTTTGGTATTTTTGACTTTTGTGAGAGAAAAAAATAAAATGATTGTGATTTGAATGTGACATTTTATCTTATTAACTTTTTAGTTTGTTTTATCTTTTTGTGACTAAAATAGCCAAAAAAAAAAAAAAAAAACTCATGCCAAACATAGCCTCAATTAATTTGACAAAAATTAATTTAATAAATGAGGATTGGAGGAGTTGCAGTTAATCCACTCTGATCATCCAACTAAAAGCCATGTGTCAAATATATAATTTCAGAATCCTATTTATATATATATATATAGATTTCAGTGCTTATTCATACAAATAATCCAAGCATTTTTGCAAACTCCTAGTCATATTGGAATGATAAGAATTGAGAATCCCAAACAGGGTCTTAAAAAATATTCACTCCCTCATCTTCACTATCAATGTTACATATACAAAATTTATACACAGAACAATATTTAAAACTTCTAATACATGATTTAAATTCATTAATATGCGAGTTAATTAAATTTTAACGGTATATTATTTTTGTGAGTATATTGAACATTGCGGTTGCCAAGCCCTTGCCGGGGCTTGAATCTTCAACCTCAAAATTCAAAGTTGTTTGAACAGCTGCAATACAAACATGTTGGTATTGGACAAATCTTATATCAAAATATACCAATCTTCAAACATTAGGTCCTTGTGAGAGTGTTAAAGTTGTGCCAACTACTGACGTACGAGCTTTAAATGCAAGTGCAAATGATTTCAAAACTTTTACCCTAATACTTTAAGGGTCATGCTCCGGAGCTCTAATTAGAGCTGCAACAGTGCAGCTCTAATGAGCTGTCACCTATATTTATAAAAAATAAAAAAATAAAAAAAGAGTGAAGTAAAAGACAAAAAAGAGAGAAGAAAAAGACAAATTAGAGATGCATTAGAGGTCCTTTTTTAGTGGTCCAAATCATTTTTGATACTTTAATTGGGCTTAACCTAACCAATGTTAGTCCCTACCAACCCCGAGACTAGTTTTAGTCACTTCACTTGGTACATAGGGTCGCCCTATACCTACCATTTTTCCATATGAGAATCAAAACTTGAATATATATGAACAAAACGTCTATCTATCTGTATAGAAAGAATCGGATACAGAATACATAGATAATGTATTTACAACTATAGATAAAAGGGAAAATTTATTCTCCCACACAAACTATCTAGATTTATTTAGGTATGTGTTGTGTGGTGGAGATTAAATTTATGTAATGTAAGATTTATATATAAAATAAATCTGAATCATGAGATAATAATTCTGGATAATTTTTAAGTTGATAAGTTTGAATCCGTAATATTACTCATGGATAAAAACATGTTTATAATTACAAATATGAATATTTTTTTTATCTCATATCTATACATTCTGTATCTGATTCAATCTGTGTACATAGCATGTCAGAGCCAATGCAATGAAACTTTTGATCTAACCTCAACAAGTCCTCACATGCTCTCTTCAATTCCTCATTAAATTCCTCTCTCCGTGCAATTCCCAGTCCAATTCTCTTTCTTCACCGTTCAAATCTTATGGTTATAATCACGTGCTTTGAACCTTGCGTCGCGTGACTCATCGATTTTAATTTTATTTTATTTGTATTATCAGATGTACTCCCTCCGTCCCAAAATATTAGTCCTTCAATTCCTCATTAAATTCCTCTCTCCGTGCAATTCCCAGTCCAATTCTCTTTCTTCACCGTTCAAATCTTATGGTTATAATCACGTGCTTTGAACCTTGCGTCGCGTGACTCATCGATTTTAATTTTATTTTATTTGTATTATCAGATGTATGTGACAAGATTTTATTTTTTATATTTTTAATAAAGAAAAACCAATAGACAAAACATAAATGCACGTATAATTTTCATACGATAAAATATTTTGAAACATATAATAAACGTTATATGTGAGACCCATCATTTATCTCACATCTCATTAAAAAAATTTACATATAAAACTCATTTTGTATCTTTTATTTACGTGAAAATCTTCTACATTCATAACACCGGTCACTAAAAATGTAAACAACTTGGATAAGGTCAATACACAGTTCCACTTAATACACCTATTGTCGAGTCGAGGGCTTGTAATCCAGTGGCACATTCCCAAGAGTCATATAAGAGATTCGAGGTACAAACCTCGCCACAAGCGAGGTGGGGTAGCTGAACTTCACTAGCTAGCCACTGCCTAGCTTTGCTTAACAACTTTCTCTTCCTATACCCTTGGGAGTATGCTAGATATAAAACTATATTTCACATTTAAAAAAACAACTCTCAAACTTCACTCTACACAACTATATGAGACAATTACAAATGAGTGAGAGGACAATAGTTTCATAGCAATTTTAGTTTGGTTACAGATGGAAGGGAAATTTGCCTTTACAAGCTATAGTTCAAAGTATTGCCCCAGAAATGAAGAATAATACCCATTATTTCTCAGAAAAATACAAAGCGGCTCACTATTGCCAAAATAATTATCTTCCAAATACAATGGAACACACATATTATGCTTCTCACCATACAAAATTTAAAACAAACCAGAAACACCACCATAGGGTAGGTAGGATAAAGAACCTTGTAATTCATCCCACAAACCAAAAAACAAAAAAAACGAAAAACTGAAACCTATAGTGGGGGCATTTCACAACAAACTGAATCGCTGCCCTAATATATGGCACCTACACAAAAATCAATGCCTTCAAAATCTTGTTCATCGCATACTACTAAAAGTTCAGCGGTTGAACCGTGTGTGCAGCATCATCAAACAGGAGAAAAACTGCTCTGTGAACAGCTTACTTCACTTTTTCATGTGTCGACGGAGTATTCGGTCCCGTTTTCTGCCGATGTTACCTCAGACGAAGCAGTGGATGACAAATCACCATTGTTGTTGACTCCACTCTGAAAGGTCTTTGGCGGCAATGGATGGTTCCTCTGAGGTTCAGTTGTTGCAGTCTTCGTTCCCTCCTCAGCTAGTTTCCGCAGAAGGTTCATGACAGTGGGAAGGAACTTGGTAGACAAGGAGAGAAGCCCAGGCAGCTGATCCGAGGAAATTACAACATAAAAATAAAATAAAATAATTAAATCTTAATATTTTCGACCAGACAGAAAATTGTGTGGAAGCTTTAACAAATCGATCAAGAATAGGAGTTTCTATAATTTGTTTCTTTTAATTTGCTTTTTAGCACACCCAAATAGATTCAGACCATGAATAAAATTAAAAAATAAAAAAAAGATTGTTTGATACTCACAGCACCATTCCGGAATTCACCAGAGATGTCAAGCTGAACCCATAGGGCTTTTACAAGCAGAAAACCAACAAAAATTAGACCTAGATACAAAGGATTCCTGCTCATGAAGAAATGTCAATAGTCAAAACACAGTAGTAAATGAAAGGGAAATCCACAAATTAAAATCCAACAAAATGAACTCCACAAGTACATGGAGAATATAGACCTTAAAAGTGTCATAAATTCATTGAACCCCAGGACAACCAAGGCAACCATTGCCCATGGAGGTGGCAACCAATTGTTATTGCGCTTGCTAGCTTCCTGAAAAGATAAGAGGAAATCCAATCACAATCAGACACCAATCCCAACATGAGAATTAGCAATAAATTTACTGTGCAAGACAAGACTACTAAAAGGACCCATGCAAGTATGTTTCATCTGAACTAGAAAATACACAATTCTGGTGTATAGGCTAGTCAAATAATACATATTCATCAACCAATAAAACAAGGTACACCCAGGCTGAGGTATACCAGCATGAGAACATTTTGGGCCAAGCTCAGGCTAGGGATGAAGACGACTACAGCCAAACGCAAAAACAACCCCACTTGGACATCAAAAAACCAAACCAAACTAAGCCTGGTGTCCCAATCATGTTCATAAGGGATCTGATGGGGAAATTTATTTATTTTATTGAGTCACCTAACGAATACAACTACTAACACACTTAGCTTACATATGCATTACTTTACAACTACATTCCTTTTGGATGCTAGAAGATGCCCTCCTAGTGCTTGACTTCTAAAGTGCTAGTACAAAATAGCTTGCCAGTACTTGATCACCAAAGCCAATGATCATATCACTTAAGAAAGATGCGAATGGGTACCAAAAGAACGATGGGCAAGAATAATGTGGTAGTCTCACACATCTAACAAACTACCTACTTATATGCTGAGCTTCTTAGTCACAGTCGAACTTTATACCTTAATGCATTAAACCCCCACTGGTTCTTGCTTTCTTACTTACTATTCTCTTGTCATTCCCATGTATTGCAACTTCAAGGGAAAAATAAATATCTATAGGGGAGGTGAGGGGGAAAGCAAAAGAAAATAAAGTTAAGTAAAGATTTTTAGAATCCTAATGTGTAAGATAACATGCCTGAGCAGAAATGGCTTGAGTCACACTGTACTCTGTCTCTGCCTTGAATTGCCTCCACAAAGCTTTGCACTGGACGGGCGTGATCAAAGTTTTTGATGATGGAACCTGGTTACCAAACATATATATATTCAAAGATGTATAAAACAAAATCAAGAAGAAAAAAAAGCACAAGTATTCAGTCCTTTACAGCAAAGAGCTTAGGCTATCAAGCATGTTCTCACTAATTTTGCAAATATATTGCCATTGTAAGTGGTTTTGTGTTTCCCTCTGCATGTGTGTGTGCACCTACATGTGCGCCACATAGAGAGCACTGAATCCTGAACAAGCATCAAGTACTGTTTGGAAGTCTCTGGCATAGAATTATTATTACAATTTAAATAGGGAAATTTATTAGAAAATCCCGTTTCAAATGTTTGTATCCCAATTACCCCATAAGATATTCTTATATTCTAATAAGTCCTATTATTTAGACATTTGATCTACCAAATCCTAATTCTCATATTTAAGATATTTTATGGACATTTCTACCCTTACAAATATTTTTTGAACGGTTAGCAATTTGGTGATATAAACATTCACATTGACGTGTGAATGTTCACATTGGCAATGTGAATATTTACATTAACATGTTAACATTCACATTGATGGTGTAAACATTCACATCACGGAACATTAACACTATAAATGTAAATATTATTAGGGGGTATTTTGATAACTATATCATTCATAGGACTTATTGGAATATAAAAAAATAATGTAGACTACATAGAATATAAGTAGGTGAAAAGGAATTTATGAAAAAGTGCACCATCTAAATATCAAGATACAATTATAACTTTCACAATACACCTGAGTCTGGCTCACAACAAATCCAGACATGTGAGCATGCAGTTTTTGCAGTTTGTACAATAGTGGACCTTTTTGAAGAAATTTTTTTTTTATAAAAATAGCCAACAAAAAAGTTGCTAAAAACACAGTTCCCAAACTAAAGTTATAAAAGAATCACAAAAGAAATAGTTCACAGAGGTTCACGAGACTTGCACTAGAACAATCCATCCAATTGATAGCATCCCCCGTGTTCTTTTATCTAATAAACTTTGTCATCCTATAGTAACTTAAAAGGTTCCACACAATCCAAAGCTTAAAGCAGACAATTTCACCTCTTCCCAAGTGCTAGAGGCCAAGGGGTCAGCTGATGTAATGGTCTTATTGGCAGCACCACCACTTCTGGTATCCACCAAAGCAACGACTAGTGTCTTCTCAATATTATCAGTATCATCATCCAAACGAATTGCAGCCATAACAGAAAGCATCTTCAAAGACTGAAAAGGAAATTGTCATCAAATATAAGCAGCAGAGACCCAAATGCAATATGAAAGTGTAAGATGAAGTGTATCATACTGCGGAGCGAGCCATTTTGGTGATTGCTCGAATGTCTTCCTTCCCACTCCAGATCCGTGGCATTGAATCAGAATCATGGCTAAATATTGTTGAAAATCTGTGGGTGGTTTTACAGTCAGTTTCAGTAACCTATAGGTTAAAACAATTGAATCAAGCTATTGCAAGAAATTTAAATCTCAGATGCAACAACGACCCAACTACCTGTCCTTCATACGGAAAAGAACTCTTCCAGCTTCTTCTTTTGCCTTCGATTCGATAATTCCTCTTGCAAAATCCTTCAAACTATTGAGCATCTTATCCTTGGTTTGTTCATCCATGTCAAAAGAAGAAAGTGCTGCAGATAATCCAAAGACAGCTGATTCTGTCTCACGGCGAAGAAGTTTCCTTATTGCTGGCCAGGTATCATCACCAGCTCCGTCTAAAAGAGCATCCACAGGTCCTAATAATGCCTCGTTCAATTTTTTCTGCAAATTTTTAGTATTATATAAGTTCCTTACAAAGAAGACAGACTAATAAAGGGACAAGATTCTCTAAAGTTTTTGAAGTCCCTAGATATATCCAGCTTTGCCATTTGCATGTATAACTGCACTTGACTACAGTTGATCAAAACAATTAGCAAGTAATGACAAGTGATCACATAACCACTGTGTATGGGATCATATCGATGTTTGTTCCTATTTTGACTCAAAAATTGTCACCATAAAAGGACACTTTCTGGATGAACTAAGCAATCCAAAGTTTATAGATTAAAATACCTCATACTGGGTTGTAAGTTCAGACAGCTTGGCAGCACGAACTGTATCAACATGAGCATCTATATCACGCCGAAATTTATCCCGCACTTTAGATGAATCCCAGGTGGCCTGTTCAATGATGGCATCTGGAAAACATTTTGGTCAGTATCTAAAATGCACTTAGTTGGAAAGTGACCAACTTGAAGTTCAGCTTATTAATCATCTAAAGCATGGTTTCAAGCACATTCAGCACCTCATACCAGGTTCAAATGCTTTGAAAAATTTTATAGGAGACATTTTCCGTGGGAGCAAATAAAAGCAGCGCAATTTTTAATGTTGCAGAAGATGCACCTCATACCAGGTTCGAATGCTTTGAAAAATCTTATAGAAGACATTTTCCATGGGAGCAAATATAAGCAGCGCAATTTTTAATGTTGCAGAATATGTTGAAGCATCACTAGTTCAAAATTAATAATTGAAAGAATAATCCTTTTGTACCTTTCAAAATGAAACGGAACTAATTTTTCTATCAGCGCATGCAACATAACTGGGTGAGAAACTTAATTGATCTTTACATTTCAGTGTGAACTGCCAAGTATGTGAACCATAAAAATACTACAGTAGCATTCAACCTTTATACTCAAAAAGTAACGAAGAACTTCCATTATCTCCATCCCAAATCTAAACTGAAAAGCAGTACTATTGCTAAAGAGGCAAAGGAAAACTGCATACTTATCGTCCACATTGAAAATGAAATCATGGCAAGAATAGGAAAGGCAAAATTACAAAAATCAAAGTAAAAGGAGAAGTGTGTTCTTTTAAAAAATCCCTAACGTTGTGTTACACATAAATTTTGTTTCAGTGTAACAATATTTGTTATTCTAAAACAAGTTTTTCCCTATAGGAGAAGTAGCAGTTGCAGACGAACTGTCATAGATAAAGGGAGCATAGCACAATAGAAGCAATCACTGAAACAGATGGCTAATACAGAAAATAAACAAAATTAAAACCTGTAAAATAAGAAGCCCTTTTTGTTTTACTAATATAAATGCCATGATAAAGGGAGTGTAGTATGATCAAGCAAACATGAAACAGATAGCTAATAAAAAGAATAAAAAAAATAAAAATCGGTATAATAATAAGCCCGATTGTTTAACAAATGTAAATTGCATTACCTGCACATGCTTCATCAAATTGAATCATGAAAGATTCGCTGCAGTCATGAGCAGCCACTGAAAATCTTTCTCCTCCATTTAAAGCTTTATCAAATGCTTCTTTGAATCTATCTAGAGTTCCTGACCGTATGTGTCCCAACATAGATTGATAGGCAGGTTGGACAAGCTAACAAATCAGAGAAGACAAGCAATGAGAAAAGAGGACATAAATTGATAAGCCCTATACACAAAAATTTACAGATGTAAGGAAACAATGAGAATCATTCAATGACATAGTGATATCGAGAGCCTCCAGAAATGAGAAGCTCAAGTAATCAAGGCCTCCCCCCTATGAGCTTAACAGGGAAGGGAATATTAGATGAAATAGCCAAAAACAACAAAAAAGAAATGCGGTATAGGAAGAGCAACTTGCATAGACCACAAGGACAAACAATTGCTTTGTAGAGCAGAGTTGCTCATCTAACCACCACCCTTAAAGTGACTATTTTTTTCTTTATGCTACCATGTGAAATCATCTAGGATCCACAGTATCAGATGTTCAGTATCAAGACACAAACATGCGGATGAGAGAGAGAAAGACAGAGAGAGAGAGCTTGAAAATGTTTAAGTTCATGTCAAACTCAGTTTACCAATTCCAGCAGTCAGCACTGCAACAATTCAGACACCAATATTACGAATCTCAGACGATTTATTATCCTCGGTTTTATCCTCGGTTTTATCCATCCTTTATTGTAGATAAGACACAGATTCTAACCATATGCCAGATACAATATTCTAATACTTCTATCATCCACATAAAAATAAATGGTAAAAAAATCCAAAATCCTACAGATAGTGCCATAAAGAGGCATTACTTGAAGCAATTTCTCTTCTAACTGCTGCCGCTTTGCAGATCTAACACCTTCGTCAAAATATGTAGCCTCCATGTCATACCTGAAAGAAAAAAAGAATGTACATAACTCAACTTTGTCATAGACATTTTTTTTGATCAGTGACTGTGATAGACACTCAACATAATTCTTGAAGAGATATAGAAAACGTCTAGAGCATCAAAGAGGCATTACTTGAAGCAATTTCTCTTCTAACTGCTGCCGCTTTGCAGATCTAACACCTTCGTCAAAATATGTAGCCTCCATGTCATACCTGAAAGAAAAAAAGAATGTACATAACTCAACTTTGTCATAGACATTTTTTTTGATCAGTGACTGATAGACACTCAACATAATTCTTGAAGAGATATAGAAAACGTCTAGAGCATCAAAACAAATTTTCAATGACAACGTATCTGATTTCAACAAACAGTTTGAAAATAAATGCTTAGGTGGCTTGCACTATCTCATAAACAAAGAAAGCCGATGGACCAAACTGCAATGAACCCCCACCCACCCAAAAAAAAAAAAAAGAGAGGGGGGAGGAATATTCCCTCCACTAGCATCAACACCAAGCTACTATAGACCAGGAATATTGGTTTATGATACTATTTCTCATCATACAAATTATATTAACTCGCAAGGTGTCCCAGAGGTGATGTACATCATATTGAAAATTGCTTATGGTGCTTAATTAAGAAAAGTGAACTGGTAAATTCTAGAATAATCACAATAAAATATAAGGAAAAATTAATTTGAATATTCAAAAGGGAAAACAAACTCAATTCTTAAGACCAACATGTTGGTAACATCACATAGAGAGGAACAAGATTGGGAGTAGGCAGAGTTGACAGGTTGCACAGGATTTCCAGCATTGGGATGACGAGGATTTGATGACATGGAACCTTTCTTAGTAGTGACCACAAGCTTATACATCAACGACACTAATCATAAGCTGCTGCTGGAACACTGGAAAGCAAATATTGCACCAGAGGATATGTACTTACTCTGACAGACAAGTGGCAAGAATAGAACTAAGCTTCTTCCCAAAGCCTGATACTGGCTGATTTTGTACGACCTCATCTAATTGACACCACTCCTGATAGTTTTAAATCATATGGCTAGTTTAAACACAAGAACGTTAAATAAAAACATGAACTAGAAACAAAAACTATAAATAAATGGAAAGCAAGTACCTCATTTGAAACAAAAGATGAAAGCTTTTCACTGGAAATTTCTTCACAGCGTACAGTAGCCACCATAACCTAAACCATAAAACTATGTATATAAACAATCTCCAAACATATCCAATTAGTAGCTTTCCTATAGCATATTTACAACCCATACCTTGTGGGCAGGAAGGTCAAGGTCCTTGTTCTCCTTGATAACTTTCCAGATCTGTTGTGCACTAAAAGAAAACCCTGAAGCAGGAACTACACCCCGCCTATCTCCAGCAAGCCCACCAGGTGCTATAGACTGGTAAAATCGCTGCCTTAAACTAATGACCTTCATTATACAAAAAAATAATTATAACCAAATAACACACAAATTTATATTCCAAAGTTCACTATCCAAAAAGTTAGCGTTGCTTTGAAATTAATAGCTGAAACCTAAATAATGAATTAGTAAAGAAATAACTAAGAGAATTCAATGCCGCAGAATAAGGTATTTAGAAAATATGAACTAATTCAATTTGAATTTCCAAGAAAATTAAATAAAAAAAAAATGTACTGAAATCCAAAAAAAAAAAAATCATCAAAATCACCAAGTTCATAATAAATCAGATTTGAAATGGGATTATTTCAAAAAAAAAAAATATTGAACTTCTATAATTTTGTATTACATAAAGCTATAAAACAGGTAAACACATGATTTTGTCTAATGTGCAAGAGTTCTTCTATAATTCTATGTCCTTTACTTATAATAATAAGCGGCATAATTTTACATCAGTCTGGTACTCTGCGCAAGTGTACCTGCTCTTTAAATTGCTCTTCTTTCTCCTCATAACTAGAAAGAGCCACAACTTCAACCTACAATTAAATCAATGATTAGAATTTTATATAGATGCATAATCATTCATTCTCAACAAATAAATATAAACTTATATACTTGCATAATAATTTGTTCTCAACAAATAGATAGAAACATGCCTAAGCTCTTTTTTGAGTAGGACTGAAATCTTACATTAAAAAATTCACTTAAGGGAGTTTCCTTGTGAGCTTCTGGCTTAGGAACGGAGTCCCAAATCTGCATCCAAGTAATAGTTAGATAATTGACAACAAGATTATAAATGATAAACAAACACTACATACATTACCTTCTGAATATCTTCTCTCAGAACAGGTTCTAAGTTTTCCAAGGGTGTCTGCACTCAAAGAAAAGGATAAATGTACTCAAGATTCAGTTAAACAAAAAAATAGCCTTAGATCAAGGGATTAGCTAACACTAAATAAGTAAAAGATTTTCTGTCTAGAGCTGCAACATGAAATAAGAAGAGAGGAACGTACCCTCGTTTTATCACGTATTACAAACATTAAAGTTGTTTTACGTGGACTAAATAATCGCATCATGACCTGTACAATGACCGATGCCATCATTAAGTGGAACAGATTACAGTGCATGCAATTGAAAATAATAGCACAACACAAGTACTCGGGAGATACCTGGAAGACAGTTTTCAAAAGAGGTTTATTTGCAGCCTGCTCACGGCCAATGTCATGACACCACCTAAATAACATAATTTTCAGAAAAATCCTCATATAAATTACAGAATATCACAACAAATCACTCAAATAAATTGCACATGATCCGTACGATAGACTGCTTGAGCTGCATAGAAACCAACTTACATATTAATTAGCACTATATCTGAAACAGCAAGGGCAAAAAGGGCACTCTGCTTCTCGAATGCAGTGTCATCCTGAAAAGTAAAAATAAATAAATAATCACTAACTAAAAAAATGACATGGTCAACCCAAATGAGAGGGGATTATGTGCTTATTTGTAAACTGCACATAGAGTAAAGTATAGGGGTAAAATGAAGTTTTCCATACATTTTATTTATGAATAAATTAATATTTTGCAAAAAAATCTTTTTTTACTTAGTTATAATATAAAAGTTAAAATACAAATAAATATGGGAGACTGTCAGAATGGTGTCAACTACAAAAAAAAAAATTTGTAAATTTAAATAAACATTATGTAAATACTAAAGTGCTACAAAAAATTTGAGTTTTTTTTTTTTTTCTTTCTTTCTATAATCCGATGGTTGCTACAGATTTTTTTCTTGATTGGTAGTTTTACTTTTGATTCTTTGGGATTCATAACCCAACTTTTGCTCTAAATTCCGTAATGTGAAAGAGGAGAACAAAGGGACAGCTACTCAAGCAATGTATACACATAAATGCATATATCTATATATAAACACGCGACTTGCATATTATATACATGGTAAATACAGTCAAGCGCCCATTCACACACATATATGTTTATAAATGTTTTATTAATACATGTTGTCCAATGTCTACAAGAAAACATTTCAGGTATTGAGTTCAATTATTGAGTAAGATATGAAGTAAATATGAAACCAATAGAGACAATCAGAACCATGTAGCCGTATGAAGTTATAATCATAAACAAAAGGTTTTGAAAAGGCACCTCTCCTCGTTCTCTTCCATCTGTACCCTCCAAATCCATTACAAGAGTGCAAGGTTCAATACCAGCACAGTTTGCCATCCAAATACCTTTAGTCGTTTGAGACCTGTGTAAGTGAGAGAGAGAGAGAGAGAGAGATAGATCTTGTTAGCTTAATGATGTCTAGCAAAAGATAATGTAATTTGACCTGAGATATCTGCGAGTACATGCCTTCCCTTAAAAGCATCCATCTCCCTAAAATTGGTCCTGAACAAATGATTTAATAGAGTGCTCTTCCCTATTAGAATCATGAAAGCCGTCATCAAAATTATTGGATGAAGTAATAGAATACCTAATGCCAAACTAATGTATATAGGTAGTACATGTGAGCGAACCAAAAAAGCTAGATCCACAAAGAAACAAAAGGAATGCCCTCGTTAGGAAAGAAGTCAGAGGATAGTTAAAGAAAAAAAACTTGAACTTAAAAAATTGTTGTAATAATACTAAGTAAAAGAAAGAGATAGCATCATGCATTTGATTGCTATAAAAAAACTGGTCCAAGTTTATAATACCCAAAAAAGGTACAACGATACAATAACTATTGATATTTATCATCATCTTGTTCAAGAGATTGACCATACATTACAATCAGGCACTAGTAGTGCAAAAATGCATGTGTGAATAGTGATCTCATGTAAAATCGCCTCATGGAAACACATTACCAATACTTTATGGAGAGAAAAAATCATACCGCTACTTTGTGGGCCCATGATGGAGACTACAGCATAAGAAAGCCCACACTCAGCCAATTTCACATCCTTCATAAAACTCTCAATTCCGGCAATATTGAAGGTACCATCCCCGTCAATGAGGTGAGTAGAACAACATTCAGTGTCTTCACCTGAAAAAGTAAACAAATACATCAGCGAGAAAAATATAAATCACAACTCCTGAGGTGGGGCCCATATTCAAAACAAATCTCAACCGATCAATACACTTTTTGTGATCCATTATGTGTTCTTAGCATTAGTGTAAAAGAGTCTGTTGTCTAATGTCTTTTGTAACCCTTTATTGGTTCCTGTGAATGAATATATGCATCTTTGAACCTTACATTCAATTTTTTTGGTCTTGCTCATAAAAAAGCTCTCCTTAACCGGACAAACCCAACATGTTAAACCCAGTTGGGAAGATAAATTTGATACATGGGATCAGATTCCAATCATGCCATGACCAAGATTCAAACAAGAAACTGTAATTTTATTTTCTTGGCAATCAAGTGAAAAAGTAGCCTCCGATTATCAAAACAAACCAACAATCAACCCTTGATTTTGGATCCAAATTCCAGAAACTAAATTGGATTATGACAAAATCAATGGCATCGGAAATTAAAAGAGTCGTAAAGATTTTAAGTTTATTAAACCAAGAAACGCATATAAATCATTAGAGTTTTGCGTTATTACATCAATTAAAACCCTAGCGATTATGATTTGCAATTAATTTCCAGATTAATAAAAGCGAATGAATAAGAAAGAATGAATTTGGGAAATGAAAATCGCAGATCAAATGGATCAGAGAAATGGAAGTTAGAAAACGTACCCATTTGTGAGATTTCAATGGGAACCTGAGAAATGTTTGAATCGATGATCGAAGCGAAGAACAGAAATCAAAGTACGATCTCGAATGTGCATTCAAATACCTCTCTCTCTCTCTCTCTCTCTCGATCTTGCTCTTTAAAAGTGGGCTTGACTGTCCGAAGATGGAAAAAGGGGCCAAAATGAAAAAAATTTAATAAGGAGCCAGGATGGACTAATAAATAATTTAAATGGGATTTTGATAGTAAGGCCAAGTTTGGGAAGACTAAATAAGTACACTTTTTGTCTTTTTAGACTAAAAAGTTGAGGTTGAAAATATGAATGTTTGGGTTAACTTTTTGACTTTTTATGAAAAAATGTGTAATAAAAAATTGTAAAAATTGATTTGTAGGAGAAAATTAGAATTGGGAATTGTGCAACCGTAATTGTTGACTTTTGGTGAATAATGATAACTTTTTAACTTTTTGAGTAACTTTTTGACTTTTTGGCTTTTTGGGGTGTTCCCAAACTTGGCCTAAATAATAAAAATATGCTATTTAACTTTTTAACAAACTTATATTTTAGAACTTAAAAATTAAAAATCATGGACCTCCATGTTATTATGCCATTATTTGTGGTTTTAATTAAATGAAAATTCGTGGTAATTTTCTAATTTTTAGTCCCAATAAAAATATGTTTGGACTACAAATAAAATCATATGAGATTATATCATTTTGTATAGAATAATGTTTGAGAGCTCGAAAATCCTTCTCCCCTAATCCCCCTAATGTCCAAAACGACTAATGTTCAAAACGACGTCGTTTTGGGCATTAGGCTTTTTTTTTTTTTTTCTTTTTCTTCTTCCATTTTCAGTCTGCAGAGGAAGAGGAAGAGGGAGAAAAAAAGGAGAGGAGGAGAGAGGGAGAAAAAGAGAGGAGAGGAGAGAAGCAGCTCCGCCGCCGATCGTCCCCTCCTGTGCCTCCGTCGCAGTAGCTCCGACGTCGCAGCCCCGCCGCAGCTGTCGTCCTGCTTCCGTCTCCTCCTCCCCCGAATATTATGTCCCCTCCAGTCCCTCCTCCTCCTCCTCCTCCTCCTCCTTTTTTCCTTCTTCCTTCTTCTTCTTCTTCTTCGTTCGTTCTTCTGATTTGCAAAAATAAATAAATAAAAGAGGAAAAACGGCGTTGTTTTTTATTAGGGGGATTCGAGCTACGTAGCTCTCGAGCTACGTAACACTGCTGTTTTGTATAACCTTAAATAAATTTGTAACTATTAACCACAACTCTCCTATCATCAAAAAAATTTATCATATAGGTCATGAAGATTACCTAACAGTTCACTTACCCAGTGATATTTTCTTTTTTCTCCATATATATATATATATATATATATTTTTGTAAAGTCATATTTTTTAAAACTCTACTATTTATTAGACACATCCCTAAAATTCTCGAGTGACATGATTATTACTCCTCTTATCATTGTGATTAATTTTGTTGAATTCCCGTAAAGTCATTCACTTTTTATGATTGATTATTGGGTAATATTAAGAATACTAAATTTTCTACTAATTAAATGGCTAAATGTCTCACATAGGTGTGGAGTCTGTAATTTTGTGGATCCCACACTTATGTGAGACATTTGATCATTTGTTTAGTAGAAAATTTGGAACCTATAGCATTTTCCTTGATTATTTTTAAAAAAAATTATACCTATTAATTGATATATCAATTAATGTATTAATGGATAATGTGTTATTATTTTAAAAAATTTAAATCTATGTAGTTTGCATAATGGATAAGGTTCATAATTTTAAGATGACAATGTCATAATATTGTTAGCTTATTTTTCTTACGAGGGAAAATATTATAAATACGACCGTGCCAGCAAAGATTGAAAAATCCTTACAGATTAATTTCAAACCAATTATCAAGTAAAGCATTTTCCTTGATTATTTTTAAAAAAAATTATACCTATTAATTGATATATCAATTAATGTATTAATGGATAATGTGTTATTATTTTAAAAAACTTAAATCTATGTAGTTTGCATAATGGATAAGGTTCATAATTTTAAGATGGCAATGTCATAATATTGTTAGCTTATTTTTCTTACGAGGGAAAATATTATAAATGCGACCGTGCCAGCAAGGATTGAAAAATCCTTACAGATTAATTGCAAACCAATTATCAAGTAATTGCATTGACGGTTCTTTTGCCTAAATAAAGAGCATTTCAAAATCACCAAGTGTAGAAAAAATAAAAATTAAAAGAAAAAAGAGGGAGACGGAGACGGAGAAAGATGATTAAGTGAATAATCAAACTAACCATTAATTTATCTCTACTCCTATACTTCGAAAATGAGGTTTATAAAATAAAGTGTAGAGAACTTACCTCCACTCCTATACTTCGAAAATGAAGTACATAAAATTAAGTGTAGGAAATATAAATGACAAGAAAAATATAAATCAATTATTTTTTATTTGAATTTTGAATCTTTTACAATGTAGCCATTAATGACTATTTATAGGCAACAATTTGTAAGAAAAAACTACCTAAAACTACCCACTATTCCACCTCCTCCACGTCATACTCCATGATTTTCCATAATTTCATTCAACCTCCACTTCATGCTCCATGTTCTCCACTTTGTTTTATATCATCTTTCCACATTTCATAACTTCTCATAACCTCCAAATGAGTAGAAAGCTGCCACATGTCCTGCAATAATAAATAATAAAATTGCAGATTTATGGTGCTAACATTACCTCCCGTGGCCATTAAAATGATGTTTACTTAAATTTTTGACGGGTCGAACCAAGCATATGACTAATCTAAGCAACAAAGTGTTTCGAATAATATCAACAAAGTATTTCGAATGATATAATAGCACCAATAAAGTGTTTCGAATGAACATGAAATTATAACTAGATGTCTCGAATTATATATATGCCTTGAAGGGATATTACATATGTGCTTCGAATCAGTATCAATCTTTTGAAGGAAATTAAACAATTATGTTTTATTCGTACTTCAAACACTTAGAAAACTTAAAACCTTTGAAGTAGGCTGATGTTGCTTGCACTTAGAATCATTTAGAACCTCATATTTTCATGATTTATCTTAACAAGCTGTTACACACGTTAGCTATTATGGATTAATAACAAGCTTCGAAGGTGGTATAAAGAACCAAAATCATCATTCGAAGGTCGAAAGTGCCGACAAATGACGAATTAAATCCTTAAAAATACTCGGCAAAATTTCGAAGGTTCACAATCGCCATTATTGTTTCTTCGAAGCTGTTAATGCAAGATGGAGAACTTCGAAACTTACAAAATTATGGCAAAAAGGCTTTTGAAACAACTTTTGGCCCAAAATTGTGGTTATTCAAATTTTGTATGTTCTAATTCACACATAATTAATGAAAATATTAATTTTGTGCTTCGAATCAATTATTAATTATCTGAAGACACCAAAATCATTGTTCTTCGAACCAACTTTTGTAGAATATTAGTTCCATTTTCATGTAACAAATGACTATAAAAATGTTTATCAATAAAGCCACTAATTATCATGCAAAAAAAGGCATTATTTGACAATTAATTAATTGTCATTTTGCATATATTTAAAGGGAGGTAAACATTTCGAAAGTTTTCTCGTCCCATTTTACATTTTGAAGGTGTTTATTGAAGACAAAACCACCCTTCAAAAGCCACATATGTTACTAAAGGATCAAAGTCATCATTCGAAAGTGCTCACAATATCTCTTCGAATCAAATCCAAAGAGTTGGATTACCATGAAATTAGTTTGGCATTTTAACTAGCCATTAATTGCTATCAAATGATATTTCAATGAATAACATGCTTCGAAATGTCTTGAGATGTGCTTCGAAGGTAATTACAAAATCAAATGGTGATGGTTTTATGGATCACCTAATAATCATATTTTTTGCCCAATATATTGCAATAACGAAATATTATTTGTTAGCCATTCCATCAAAGTCAACGTTTGATGTGATCCACAAATCCAAAATGGATTTTGAACAACAAAAATCATGGTATAGTGTGACCATAAAAATTCATACTTTTTGACACTTTGAAAAATGTCAAAAATTTTGAATTCATGAATAATGACTTGTTCATTATTCTTGACCATGTTTGTATTAAAAACATGACTTTCGCCAAATTGATTTCCATAATTATTTGGCAAAGTGAGCTGTTTTTCCATGTTAGCCATTAATGGCTTATGAAAATCACCCATAGTGTCACGACCTAAACTCGCCCCTATGGGTTTAGTACCATGACCGGCCAGTAATCTGAGATTACCGAAGGCCTGCTTAACAGAAGAACAGTAATATAGAGTACAGGGGCTGGCGGAAGCCAAAACAGTAAATAAACAATGTCTAATGAGCTGTGACAGTCTGTATGCAAAAAGACTTTTCATTCAAATATATACAGTCAGACAAAACAGTATGTACATATACACAATCATTCAGTTCAGGGACCTAATCCCTATTAAACAGTACCGTAGCAGTCTATACAGTCATACAAAACAGTTACGGAGACAAACGGGGAAATTAAAAACACCCCTAAGCCATAACTTGACAGGCTCGGAACCTCGCAGTGAGGCACAGTGGTTGGCTTGACAAAACTGGAGCTTACCCCGACGCTTCTAACCACGGTCTGGTGCCTGTACACCTACATATATATATTAGCAGTGAGCTAAAGCCCAGTGAATAACACAATGCGTAAAGAGGTTGAGAATGAATGTCCTTACAGTAATGAAAACAGTTTATTAATTCAGCATATCAGTCATTCAGTCATATGTGGTACATCCATTATCATAACAGTACAGTAAATAGTAGGTCTTAAAAGACCGGACAGTAAATGATGGCCATCAATCAGTAACAGTAGTGGTTCTAACAAGGGAACCGACAGAGATCTCTGTAACAATAACAGTAAACAGTAGTTGCTAAGGATGCCACAATACAGTTCAGAATATAGGACATACATTCATTCAATTAACAGTATCAGTTCAGAAAGCAGTACAGTTCAATTGTTCAGAAGATAATCATTTTGAACATATCTTTACACAGTTGTTACTCACAGAGTTCTGGGCTACAGTAAAGCTAGAGCGCGTCTCCAGTCGCCAACCCTACACAGTTACAGATCGAACACACACTAAGCTACACAGTTGGGA